TACAGCCTTTACTTTACTTTCTTTCCTTTAACAGATACTTTATTTACTTTACTTTCTGCAAGAACAGATACGGCCTTTACTTTACCTTACTATATTTTCTGCAAGAACATATGCAGCCTTTGCTTTACTTGACTTTACTTCCGCAAGAACAGATGCAGCCTTTACTTTACTTTACTTTACATTCCGCAAGAACAGATACAGCCTTTACTTTACCTTACTTTCTGTCCGCAAGAACAGATACAGCCATTACTTTACTTTACTTTCTGCAAGAACAGATACAGCCTTTACTTTACTTTACTTTCTTTTCTGCAAGAACAGATACAGCCTTTACTTTACTTTACTTTCTGCAAGAACAGATCCAGCCTTTACTTTACTTTCCTTTCTGCAAGAACAGATACAGCCTTTACTTTACTTTACTTTACTTTTTGCAAGAACAGATAAAGCCTTTACTTTACCTTACTTTCTGTCCGCAAGAACAGATACAACCTTTACTTTACCTTTTGCAAGAACAGATACAGCATTTACTTTACTTTACTTTACTTTACTTTACTTTACTTTACTTTACTTCACTTTACTTTACTTTACTTTACTTTACTTTACTTTACTTTACTTTACTTTACTTTACTTTACTTTACTTTCTGCAAGAACAGATACAGCCTTTACTTTACCTTACTTTCTGTCCTCAAGAACAGATACAGCCTTTACTTTACTTTCTGTCCGCAAGAACAGATACAGCATTTACTTTACTTTCTGCAAGAACAGATACGGCCTTTACTTTACCTTACTATATTTTCTGCAAGAACATATGCAGCCTTTGCTTTACTTGACTTTACTTTCTGCAAGAACAGATGCAGCCTTTACTTTACTTTACTTTCTGTCCGCAAGAACAGATACAGCGTTTGCTTTACTTTACATTCTGTCCGCAAGAAAAGATACAGCCTTTACTTTACTTTACTTTCTGCAAGAACCGATACAGCCTTTACTTTACTTTACTTTCTGCAAGAACAGATACAGCCTTTACCTTTACTTTACTTTCTGCAAGAACAGATACAGCCTTTACTTTACTTTACTTTCTGTCCGCAAGCACAGATACAGCCTTTACTTTACTTTCTGTCCGCAAGAACAGATACAGCCTTTACTTTACTTTCTGTCCGCAAGAACAGATACAGCCTTTACTTTACTTTACTTTCTGTCCGCAAGAACAGATACAGCTTTTACTTTATTTTACTTTCTGTCTGAAAAAAAAAATACATCGTTTGCTCTACTTTACTGTCTGTCCGCAAAATCAGATACAGCATTTACTTTACTTTCTGTCTGCAAGAACAGATACAGCCCTTACTTTACTTTCTATCCGCAAGAACAGATACAGCCTTTACTTTTCCTTACTTTCTGTCCGCAAGAACAGATACAGCATTTACTTTACTTTCTGTCCGCAAGAACAGACACAGCCTTTACTTTATCTTACTTTCTGTCCGCAAGAACAGATACAGCCTTTACTTTACCTTACTTTCTGTCCGCAAGAACAGATTACAGCATTTACTTTACTTTCTGTCCGTCCTCAAGAACAGATACAGCATTTACTTTACTTTCTGTCCGCAAAAACAGATACAGCCTTTACTTTACCTTACTTTCTGTCCGCAAGAACAGATAAAGCATTTACTTTACTTTCTGTCCGCAAGAACAGACACAGCCTTTACTTTACCTTACTTTCTGTCCGCAAGAACAGATACAGCCTTTACTTTACCTTACTTTCTGTCCGCAAGAACAGATACAGCATTTACCTTACTTTCTGTCCTCAAGAACAGATATAGACTTTATTTCACTTGTTGTCCGCAAGAACAGATGCAACCTTTACTTTACTGTACTTTCTGTCCGCAAGAACAGATACAGCGTCACTGGGTGGGTAAAACCGACAGGTAGTTACTCGGAAAACAGAGACTTTCTGATGCCAGCAAGTATTCGATCCCATCAAAGTTCATCAGCCAAATCTCTACTGCGTTGCCACGCCAGATTCCTTTTGCCACGCCCTTCACGGTCAGCATTTTGAAACCATTTACTCAGAGTCGTCTCAACACTAATATGAGCCCCTTGGCAACTACTCACATGAATGATATTTTATTGACGGCAAGTCGCTTAAAACACACAGATTTACATGGGGCTCCCTCTGCTTGTTGGGCTCCCTAGGACGGTAACCCTGCGTTGAGACGGCCCTGAATTCATCTAGCTGTGTGCTAGATTTAGTATTTTAGCATCAGTTATAAATTAAGGCTTTACAGAGAAGTTGCTTCTTTCATCGCATTTATAACAAAAACAACCTTTAAGGAAACCAGGGACACAGGGGTGCCGCTACAACACAATATTGGTTAAATAAAAGGGGATGGGGGGAGCTTAGTCCCTTTTATAATTTTTTTAGGGGCAGGGGAGGATGTTATTGGGTTAAGTCCCACTCTGGCTTTTTTGAGGGAGCAGTAATATAGGCATTAAACATGGCCAAAATCTGAATATATTTTAAATACTCCAAATGTGATATCATCCGCAATTGCTTGTTCTTTGTACAGGGGTGTTGCAGAACCCTCCCATGTCCTGGTGGGGTAAAAAAGCCAAGCTGTTGCGGCTTTTCTAAGCAGATTTTACGTTCAGTAGCTTGCCATTGCTTACTGAACGGTAAGCTCTAGATAACACAGTTGAAACTAACGAAAAGAGGTATGCTGCCAAACCGAGTTCAGCTGTGATCGAACCCGGCACCGTGTTATTACGAAGCGTGTTTGCAGCGCCTAAACTACAAAATCAGTTTTTTTTTCAGTAGCTTGCCATTGCTTACTGAACGGTAAGCTCTAGATAACACAGTTGAAACTAACGAAAAGAGGTATGCTGCCAAACCGAGTTCAAACTATTGATTACAGAAATGTATTTTAACGAAGCATATGTCGAATAACATTTTCAGCAACAATTTACGAACACTGTAGACCTTAATGCTTTGTCTAGAATACACAAACATTTAAGGAAGATTATAGTAAGAGATTTCACAATTATTTAGGGTGGTATTTTTGTTTACTCAGACGCTCAGCTCTCTCTCTCTCTCTCTCTCTCTCTCTCTCTCTCTCTCTCTCTCTCTCTCTCTCTCTCTCTCTCTCTCTCTCTCTCTCTCTCTCTCTCTCTCTCTCTCTCTCTCTGATCCTGTCGGCAACCTGTCCTACATATACACTTGCAATCATATCTACCTTCCTACTTATTTTCTTACCTATGTACTGGCCTCACTAATTACCTTCCTTCTTATGTTCCTACCGATCTACTCACCTCACTACTTCCCTACCTAATTATTTCCCCACCTATATAGTCACCTTACAACTTACCTTTCTACTTACTTTGACATCTATCTATACTACTCACTTATTTTCTCATCTACTTACCTCAGTACTTAACTACTTATTTTCTCACTCACATGTCCTCACTTATCTTCAGTACTCAACTTCCTTATACTTATCTTCCCACCGATCTACTCACCTTGCCACTTACCTTCATACTTATCTTCCCACCGATCGACTCACCTTGCCACTTACCTTCATACTTATTTGTCCTACCGATGTACTCACCTAACTACTTATCTCCATACTTATTTTCCCATCTACGTACATACCTCACTGCTTAACTTCCTACTTATTTCTCCACCGATGTATTGATCTTACTACTTAACTTCTTACTTATTTTTCCACCTATGTAGTCATCTCACTACTCACCTACCTGCTTATTTTCCCACCCATGTAGTCACTTTACAGCTTTCTTTTCTACTTATTTTCCCATCTATGTAATCAACTCACTACTTACCTCCCTACTTATTTTCCCATCTATGTACTCACCTCACTAATTACCTTCCTACTTATCTTTCCACCGATCTACTTACCTTACCACTTATCTCCCTACTTATTTTCTCACCTTTCTACTGATCTCACTACTTACTTTTGTACTATTTTACCACCTATGTACTCACCTCACAACTCACGTCACTACTTACTTTCCAACCTGTTTATTCACCTCACTATTTACCTTTTTCCTTATCCACCTTCCTACCTACCTAACCTAGGTGGAGCTCAATGTTTGAAGGTCACGTAGCCCTTTACAAATTGTCATTCATTCCTGATTATCTCTATACAGATGGTTCTGTGTTGAAGGGGAAGAGGAGTGCCAGGGGGTTCGTAGCGAAAGCTACAGGGAATTCTTTAGTGCAGGACAGCCTAGCACATGATACCAAAACATCTAGAATGAGAATAGAGGTGGAGGCGGTCACTGCAGCTTTCCGGTGGCTAGAGAACAAGATGCATACACATGTTGTAACTGTAACAGACTCTAAAGGCATGCTGAAAAAGGTTAAGACAGGGTCGCTTCGAGCAGAGTGGCAAGTTTCATTTGGAAGGTCACAGGTAGGGAGCATACACTTCAGGCAATGCCGGTGTAATGGGTAATGAGCAGGCAAACAGATTGACTAGATTTGCACTACTAGGTGAATTGATATATGACAAGGCAGATGTGGTCAAGGCCCTGCAGTAACAAGTCAGAAGAAAAACTGCATTATTGTGGCTTGGAGAGAATGATGCACCTGGTTATGACCAGAGGGTCTAACCGGCTCACTAAACCTAGAGGAAAGGCCAGATGGACACCTAACCAGACTGTGACCGGTATCATTAGTACTGAAGCTGGCTGCTGAAGATAGGCCTTGAAGGGGACAAACCACCCACCAACAAACACACAAAATTAAAGGGTCGATAAAACAGGGAATATTTTGACCTGGCAGCTTTGTTGCGGCTATCTCCCTTACTGTATGTACTCTTTCGTGCCTGGAAATATGTTTGGTTTGACGTGGCTGGAAATGAAAACATCGTTGCTAGGAAACGGAAAGCTGCTTGGTGAACTTTCAAAGTTGACATCCATTTAAATAATATAAATAATAAACAACAGCACACGACGGCCACAGGGGATATCTTTAGTTAAGTCTAATTTTCACAATGTTCCAGGTAATCTTGCTTACTACTTAAACAGTAAATTCATATAATACAATTATAGTACTAATTTAAATTACTAATTGAAGTGACTCTAAGATACTCTATAATCGATCTGTTACTATACTAATCGATATATCTGCCCTTCCATCCGTCTATCTGTCTGTCTGTCCATCTGTCTGTCTTTTCGTCTGTCTGTCCGCTCATCCATATGTCTGTCTGTATATCTATCTTTGTCCTCTTCATTTCACTCAAGACTGTTAACCCTAAAGAATACACTTAGACCGTTTTTCTGCATTGTTGCCAGTCTGCTACATTTCTGTCGAAGGTATCCCAGGTTATTTTAAAGAATTCATTTCCCTTTCTACTTTACTACTCTTCTGAAGAATTTCTTTGGCCCATGTCTCTCTTTCCACCTGCCTTTCATCGAGAGCTGTCCTTGCTAAAGTGTCATGAGGCCTTTTGCAAACATGTCTAAGCCATTACCATCTTCTTTTGAAACATTTGCCTGGAATGAACATTTTGTTTCCCTCTCCAATTACTGCCTTTTTATTATTTAAAACAATTATAATGCTTTATAGTATTAAAAGAAACAAAAACTAAAGTAATTTATGAAATAAAATTGTCTTGCCTAGTTCCAAATAAGAGTGTAATATTTTTTAAATATTTAAAAAATTAACATAAATATTCATCTGCACCTAGTATGTGTTTCATGCATGTTTATAAACAGAACATAAATATAGACTAGCCAAATTCAAAGTGATCATCGTTAAAATTGATTTAAGTACTTTGAACATAACTAATTTACTCCATGAAGCATAAATGTCTGACTTTATGAATCTCTGTAAAAAACCTGTGAGGATGGAAAACTTGTTGCCCATAGGTAGCCTTAGAGACCGGCCTGGCAAGTTCAAGTAATTTATTACTAGAATCCTAAACATATATAGAAGGGTAAAGAATACTCATGCCATCCTTAAAGAAGTGTTTCCTAAAGATAAAATCAGTGAGGATAATCAACTATTATACTAAGGGCTTCATATAGCCACCATATTGATGACACAATGTTTGTAAGATTATTTAAATATTCTTAGTACAGTTTAAAAATAAATCCACAATATTATTGACACAATGTTAGAATTATAGTAATTGTCGGCCCCATGTGGGATGCAATTTTTTTTTATTTGAAGATTAATCCTAGCTTTTGCCAGGGGCCCTGAATAAAGCCGGGCCATAAATATGGCCTAAATGCCTGAAAGGGTTTTCTGGGACCTTTCCACTGGTCATCCTCATCCGCATGGTGGCACTTTGCGTCACCATGTGTTTATCACTTGTGTGATGTCCTGGTGAGGTACAACAAGAGAGAGAGAGAGAGAGAGACACAATGTTAGCAAGGTTATCAAAACATCCCCAGTACATTTGATATCACAATCACAACCCAGATCAAAGATATATTTGAAAAAATATATACCCAGAGAACTCGGTGAGCTCTATATATGTCCTATTTATAACCCCTAGGGTTGAACAGGATATTCCCCTTGTGGGTTCCAGGGCCCTGTAGACCCACTGTCTACCCAAAAGCTTGCCGTAAGAGTTGACTAATTGGGAGCTTCCTGCAAAGTCGGAGTGCATCTGCTTGAGAGGCAAGGAACCAACAGTCTGCGTATAAATTAATCAGATCTGTCATACTGATGCACACGCAACACTCAAGTTCTGGAACAGGACTGCAGTCCAGAAGTGGACAAACAACCAGAACGTTCCGCCAGAGTTTACTGCTGGTGAACGCAAAAAAGAAGAACAGGATATTTTTAAAAACTACTACACAGCATATGAACCCCATAGTCATTTTTTCTGGAATAGTAAATTTTACATGAAGGACATAGTGGTGTTTTAATTGTAAATTTTCTTGACTTTTGTATGCAGGCTTTTTGTTTCTGGTGGTACACAAAGGTGCACAGTACCCTTTTTTTCAGGTGTCATTTTATTCAGCGGTATTTTAAAAGACATTTTCCCTGAGTACTGGTACCTTTTCACTGCACACATACACAAAAAAAATGCCATGGTTGTAAACAAATGGCATTAGAAATAAATGAGTTCCCCTCACTATAAAATCAGTTCATGAAATCACTTTACACACATGCACACACATGCACGAGGACAGAAGAGGAGTCTGTGGCTTAGGCGTTGCGAGTCCGACTTGTAATTCCAACGTACCGTGATTGAAACCCACTGCTGGCTGCGTGTGTTTTTATCATGGTACGAGGCGAGGCAGGTAGACCCCGCCTAAAGTGGCTACCAGGATGGCTGTCCTGGGGAACTAAAGACCGCCGGCGTAATGCTGACCACATTACTGACCTAGTGCCGATTGGTCTATAAAAATATTGGGTGCTTTTCCCATATGCTCGATGCACATAAAGGGGTGAAAAGGGATCTCTACTTACTTTATCTTAAGACACTTGAACACATACACACAGAATCTCAAACATACCATAATCTGCATATTTCCAAATTAATTTGTTTTGTAATAATTTTCATGTGGCTAGCATATTTTAGTTATTTTATATATTTTAGCTGTTAAATTCAAAAACAGTCAAAACGTGTAATATTTCCTCAGAAAAAAATACACAAAGTAAAGATATTGATCTGGTGAGTACCAGTTTTTATAAAAAAATCATTCAAGTGATTCTACATCATTAATTATTGCCAACATTTAATAAGTACACTGTTCACTGATGTAATTCACAGCTGAAAACAAATTCAAAGTGAGTTTTTTGAAAAAAAATTGTCCCTACTGTTTATTATAACACCTTTTTAGGGCGGTGTAGACAGGGGGTCATGAACCTGGGGATTTAGGGCCACCTGGCTTGTTAGTAGAGTTGCAGGTCTATCCTGCCCCCCCCCCCCTTCCCCCCCCCCCCCCCCTTCCCCCCCTCCCCCCGAAAATTTGACCTCAGAACCCACATGGTGAGATTATCTAAAACAATAATAGACATCCTGAAAAACTTTAATTGAGTGCCATTTCCACACTAAAGGTTGGCTGCAGCAAATCCATTGCTGTCTTTGGAAAGATTATTTTGGGAATCATCGATCTCTTCCTTAATACATCTTTGGTACCTCTGCCCAAAAACCTCCAGAAAGGGCTCTTTTTTGAAATGCCCACTGCAGAAATGGAACCTGCATATCAAGAATTGTGAACCCCATTCAATAACTTCTAAGCCACAATAGAAACTGTATAACTCAGCTGTAACCTAGAACAGTGGAACAGGGTAATCATCATTATCATTGCTTAATCAATTTGTCCCCTCCAGGTTGGTTGTACCTTAGGTTAAATATACCATCCTGAGGTAAAAGAATCTTAGTTTGGATGGCAGATGAACAAATCAGACAGCATATACCCTGTTCAACCCCCCAATAAAGATATAATTAGGGCACCATAACAGCTACACCAGTCAGGTGTCACCTGTAGTCCTTTGTCGTTAAGGTCTGTAATCATCATCATTATGATACAGGTCCTTTGTGGCTAAGGTCTATAATCATCATCATTATGATACAGGTCCTTTGTAGCTAAGGTCTATAATCATCATCATTATGTTATGTCCTTTGTAGGAAGTCTTCTTTTCCTCCAGTTTCTCATTCTCCCTGCCAGTGGTTTTCAGATGAGGATATCACGGCCTCAAGGAAGTCTATGGTGTCTTCCACTATTCAGTACAGCTTGGTTTCCATTAAGATGCCAGCCAGCCAATCTACTGCATGTAGAGAGCATGCCTGAAAAATACGCTGAGTATACAGCTGGCTGTAAGAATATGAGCACATTGCCAAGCCCTCTGCATCATGTATTTTATTTCCAAAATGTCTCCAATCTCCTGTACATATCTTTTTACAGTGTGCCCTGTGCCTTTTCTGGGTGCCATGAATTATAATACTCTTCTTTCTAAACTGCTGTTTCATTTAATGTTGGTATTACCTATAAAATGTATTTTTAAGGCCCTTTGAGGGCGAGTGAACAGTGCAGAGCAACAAAAAAAGCATTATGTTCTGTAAAGAATAGTGCAGAGTTGAGTCACCAGGGGATATTGCAGATACTCAACACTCAGGGGAAAGACAACAAGATAGACATATGATCAGATTGCTACTGGTACTACCAGAACTGGACATCAGAGCTGGCTGTTGCAGATGGGGACAGAGTGTTTATGGCAATGTCCTGAGTGCTATCATGTCAGTCTTAACTCAGCCCAACTCAGTCCAACTCAACCCAACTCAGCACAATTCAACCCAACTCAGCCCAACTCAACCCGACTCAGCCCAACTCAGCTCAACTCAGCTTAGCTCAGCTCAACTCAGCTTAGCTCAGCCCAACTCAACCCAACTCCCCAACTCAGCCCAGCATATAAAATATTGCTATGTTTAATATAGTTTATTACAGTAATTTAAATCTGCAACAAAACCAAAGTCCAGATGGGGATGAACAACCAGGACTTTCTGCCAGAATGTACAGCCAGTGTTGCAAAGAAGAAGTAATTTAACGGTACTTTCGTTTACAATGTTTCTTTCAATTCTCAAAGGTCTGACCTGTCCTTGAGTAACATTGAACGCTTGAATGAGATTCAAGATTATGATCGAATCAGGCGGTAAGTTTTTATTTATTTAAAGTGTTATTTCTGGTTCTATATACTATTCATCTCAGTATGTAAAGTAACGAATATTTCAATACCTTAAAAAAAATAAAGTAATGTAAAAGGACAATTTTTACACCAGCCTCAAATTTGTATAGACCAATCAGCACTCACTGAGTAAAGCAGTCATTATTGTTCCAACAATCTTTTACTGCCTAAATAAACATATCGACTAGACAATCTTTATAGGCCTAGTGTGCCCAAGTACAGTGTCAACCTCATAAGAAGACCCCCTATCCCCTCCAGGGGAACCCAAGAAATGGTTCTTCTTATCATAAATTCCTCTTATCCAGATGAGAATTCAAACAAAAAAAAATTGGCAAGGATAAACAAATTATTCTTCACATTTGAGATCGCCTTAGGCAATCTGCAATGTATACTGATGTGTTTTCCTAAATTTTTTAAAGCTTGAAATTGGGTGTCATCTGATACATGGAATGCGTTTAAAATATATATTGCTTAGTTTAGGGCTAAAAGAAAATAGGGGTCATTTTATACATGAGGGCTTCTTATACACAGAAAATAAGGAAACTGTTTTATTTGGTTGAACAGCATTTCTGGGAATTGAATCTTTTTGATACACATGCAAAAACTGGCTCCCTGATTCATTGGACTTCAGGTCTTTTAGGCTGCAATCCCAGGGGAAAAATTCCACCCCAACAAAACAAAAAATATATAAATAACAACAGCAACACAAAAAACATATCCTGACTTTCTATAATATGTCCTGGTTCTAATGCTTTTTTTTTAACAAGAAAAAGAGTGCTACTACCCACTACAAAGTGGATTAAACAATAATGCTGGTTCTGCCTCCAGTGTCTATTATAGTAGTTACGAAAAAAATATTACGTGTACTATTGTGTACCACCAGAAAAAATCAGGCTTGGTACCAGTTTTAATACTTATCACGAACTGGCCCGCATAGTGAGAGTTCCTTCCCTTCCCATTCATGCCACAGCTAGGCCCACCGTTTGTAATATGTTGTGCGGGGCATCATGTATTTCCTTATTTTCAATGATTAAACTGTTCCATCTTTTCTCATCTTGTCACTGCATGATTAATTCCATGTTGTGCTACTTAGCCTGACAGTTCATGACTATCAAAACTGATCTCTCCTAAAAATGGTGTCCTGAAAGCCACACTGAGAAACCAATATTTGTAATCAAAGCCAAAAGCTGTAGAAATAATTAGTTACAGAAATACAACTTAAACATAAAATATAGTTCACATAGTTTTTGTTTAGTTTTGTTTTCAATACCATTTTGATTTCTTTTCAGCCTGCTGGCAGACATCTTCAGCCTGGGAAATTACAAACAAAACCTGAAATCAAACATTGTCTTAGATCTGTTTTACTATACACTGCAGTTTGCCAGGAAACAACACTTCTCTCCAGAGCAAACTTCTGCATTCTTCTCCATTATCAAAAGGGTTTTAGAAGTTTGCCAGGGTAAGACAAGGATGTGTTTTGTTATCAAATCTCTTGTGTGTGTGCATGCGTGTGTGTCTGCGTGTGTGAGTGCATGTGTGTGTGCGTGCGTGAGTCAGTGTCTGTATGAGTGCATGTTTGTATGCATGCGTGTGAGTGAGAGTGAGTGAGTGAGTGGGTGGGTGGGTGAGTGAGTGAGTGGGTGAGTGAGTTAGTTGGTGGGTGGGTGAGTGAGTGGGTGGGTGGGTGAGTGAATGAGTGAGTGTTTGAGTGAGTGAGTGAGCGAGTGAGAGAGAGAGTGAGTGAGGGGGAACCTATATAAAAACCTTAAAAGTGAGATGGAAATTAAATTACAATGACTGTGCCATTGTCTTCTAACCTGCCGACATGGTTGTGAAGGATGTCAAGAGGGTTAAGCACACAACATCACAGCTTAGACCAACACAGTGATGTCATAATGGCAGTTTGAAGATGGCCACCCCACTTTTGACACACAGCAGAGAGGCGTAGCATTCTATAATGCATTTTCCAATCAGTGAAGTGGTGAAATCTACAGAAATTCATCAGCAAATCAAAGGTTCAGTATGGTGATGAATGCCTATCAGTCCGGAAAGTGTATGGGTGGAGTAGAAAGGTTCAAAATGGCATGACTTCTTTTGTCTGAACTGGTCACGAACAGTCTGTCACAGAAGTCCCCCCATTTGGAAACTTCCTACTCCGCTCATTCATTTGTTGGTCTGAAAGCTTGAAAAGAATCTTTTACTTCTACTTTTTTAAATGCTACATTTGTCAGTTGGATTTCATATGCAATTAGAATTAGTTTAACAAGTTACTTTTATGCTCTAAGTTGTTTTAAATGACCAAAATAATAATAAAAATAATGACTGTATATTGAATCCTGTAATTCTATTGTATTATTTCTGCTGCAAGAAACTCCCTTTGGCAACTTGGACTACACATATCAGCATTTCAAAGACCTACTCTTCTGTCATTGTGTTAATGTAAGTATTCACCTTTTCATTTCTGTATGTTTCTGGGGTGTTTTTTATTATGAAGGAAACTTGTCAAAAACATTAGAAGAAAGCAGTCAATATGTTTTGGCCACAAAGTGGAAAGATAAGTGAAACAGTAACAACTGGAAAGATTACTGGAAAAAAGAGACTGAGAAAGTGGCAAATAAGATTCTGGGCATTTAAAAAAAACTGTCCTTGATTGCCCTGTTTAGCCTGAGGATTTAGGATGACCTTTCAAGTGCTGTTGCCACAAACAGTGTACGTTATTTTATTTTTTTCCGGGACAGGGAAAAAGTAGCCTCACCTTAATGAAGATTATAATTTGGTCTCAGTAATGAAAGCCAAACATTCTTACTGCTGAAAAAGACACTGCACATCCTGGGGTAGACATAGGTAATATTTTATGGGGTGCTGCATGGTACAACTTGCAAGACACTTGGTGATGACAGTGATTTGTTAATATTCCACTTTGGTTATCTAGTCATCCTAATTGACTCTCATTCTGTGCTCCAGTTTAGTTATCCAACCATTCAGACTGACTCTCAGTTAATGTCCCAGTTTAGTTACCTAGCCATCATGACTTCCATCAGTACTCCAATGTTGTCATCTAGTCATCATTGACTCTCAGTCAGTGCATCAGAAGGTTCACTTGTAAATATTTCTGGCATAAGAGGTTCTTCTGCTTTTTTAGCATTCACTGGCTGTAAACTCTGGCAGAAAGTTCTGGTTATTCATCGACTTCTGGACTTTGGTCTTGTTCTAGAGCTTGAGTTTTGCATGCACATCTGTTTTACAGATCTGGTTTATTTGTATGCAGACTATTGGTTCCTCACCTCTCAGGAAGATGCACAACTTCAAAGGAAATACCCCCTTTTAGTTGCCTCATATGACATGCTGGAGGGGGGGGGGGGGGGCATTGGGTCTATTCTTTTCCGACCACAATGGGACCATAGAACCCACATGGGGAGCATAAAGGAAAGAAAACCCATGGATTCATTACATCTTCCAAATTTAGAAATGAATGGCTGGTCTCCAGGGAAGAAACTGACATGAGACTGAGAATGGAAATACCACATACAAGTTGAAGCAAATCAACAACACTGACTCCCCGTGTGGGTTCTGGGGTCCCTTTGGGTGATTGAGGAGGGGGGGGGGTGAGGGGGATAAACCCATTGCGCCCCCAAACAAGTGTGATGTACCAGTGGACTGCTTGGGTGTATCGTTCAGAGTCAGAAGGAATCTGCCTGAGAAACCAACAGTTTGCATATCAATAAGTCAGATCTGTAAAACAAACATGTATGTAAAACTGAAGGTCTGGAATAAGACCAAAGTCCAGTAGTGAAAAAACAACCCTAACCTTAACCCTCTGCCGTAGTTTACAGTCGGTGAACACTGCTAAAACACTGCTAGAACACTGCTAAAACACTGCTAAAACACTGCTAAAACACTGCTAAAACACTGCTAAAACACTGCTAAAACACTGCTAAAACACTGCTAAAACACTGCTAAAACACTGCTAAAACACTGCTAAAACACTGCTAAAACACTGCTAAAACACCCAAGCATCACTATGGCACTAAAGCGACAACTGATAAATTGCATGTTTATACCAATCCTCTGCTACCAATGCCAAACCTGGTCCCTAACAAGAGCACAGGAGAAAAAGATCACGACATACGAAATGAGATGCTTACGTAAGGCTGCCAATGTCACAAGGAGAGACAGAGTTTGAAACGAGAACATTAGATCAATTGTAGGAACCACACCATGCCTGCAATACATAAAGAAGCAACAAATAGAGTGGTTTGGCCACTTGATGCGAATGCAAACCGACCAACTGCCTCTACGAGCATACAACGAACAGCACTACTGCCCTAGAGCAAGAGGCAGACCGAGAGTACGATGGATAGACAATATATCAGAGATCCTGAGGCAACACGGACTAACAACAACACGTGCAACACACCTGGCCCAGGATAGAAAACTGCGACTCCCCACTACGCTGTGAGGCAATTGTGGACAAGACAAGACAAGACAAGAACACTAAGAAGTAGAAATTCTGAGAACTCAAAAAATCAAAAGTTTGTGTAAAAAATATCTGATAACAAAGAACTTAGTCTTAGTCAAGGTTTCAACTTCACTGCAATTGGGTTTTCCCATACTTGCTCTATTCCTGTGCCGGTGAAAATCAAATGAAATGTCCCTTACTACCCCATTTGAAAAACCGGTTCAAAACAATTAGTCCTGGAACAATCCAGAAATATGTGTACTCAGTAAATGCATATGGCAGCTGCTAAAGGCACCAAAGCCAACATAGCCACCAGAAATGTACTTTTTCGTTGATGGAAATCGGGCAGTATAAGTTGGCTTTACACATGTACAATTATTACATAATGTATTTCACTAGCTCACACGTATACTGGCTACCGTCATATTGAATACCACGACTCAGTGCTTTACAAATGAAAGACTTCCCACATGAAAAACACAGCTCACAGGGCTGCACCAAGCATTAAATGCAGTAGTTCAGGCAGCGAAACCAAACTACTGCCCATATGTAGAAACTGCATTAGCAAAGCCTTGTCAGAAGCAGTATATTCACTTTGAAGCTTAAAATTCTGCCATGCCTATACTCCATTTTTGACTGGAAGTTTTAACAAGGGGCTTGTAATCATACATCCCTGCTGGGACCAAAATTGTTATTCATGTTAACTGAGTATTCTTCTTTTGTGAGTTTGTGTTAATGAGGGTTTACTATAATAACATATGAGTACAACTGATGTAATCAGTACTGACATTCTCCCAGTGTAGGCTCTGGGGCTCCATGTTAGAGGGTACAAGAATAGACCTATTGGTTCTTAGCAAGCATGCTGTAAAAGGTAGCTAAGGGGTTGCTGAAATCGGATGTGTTTGGATGAAAGGAGTGGATATAGCAGCTGAGCTGTAAACCACAAAACAATGTACCAACTGTCCTTTTTGAAAGGGTGAATAAAGAAAATAAAGAAATCAAATTCCATAGCAGTAGAAAAGGTAACAGTAAAGGGTAAAGCAAGAGAAAGTAATTAGTGTAAGTAGGTAGAAAGGGTAATGTAAGGGTAAGTAGCCAGCCACTGAAGCTTGAAATGGATTAAAGTTCTATTTATAAATTACGTGATCTGTCCACAAAGTCTCTGGAGCCATCCATCTGTATGAAACTTATTGGGGAATTGGGAAGGGGGGTCTCATCTCTAAGTGTCATTGCTGGAGATACAGATACTTTCAGTGAAGTAAGAATCCATACTTTAGGCACATTCTGAGGAGATGGAGCACATACTGGCATGTCCTGATAGTGGTGATGTTGTTGGATGACAAATTCTGACAGGTTTACTGCTGGTAGGGATGCCATATAACAATCATAGACATCCACAGATAATAGTTTATGATATTATGAGGTAAGATGAGCAGATCCACCACTCCCTCGACACCTAATTGTGTAAAACCAGCCAGTCTGTCTGCCTGTTCATATCCTAAACAAAAAGATGTTAATGTTTCTTTAATTTACCTATACTCTTCAGCGGCCACCTATGAGTGTAGAAATCTTCACAAAGGAGCAAGCGATCAGCATCTGCACCTACACCCTGAACACATTCTTCAGACATTTCAAGTTGTACAAGTATGTCTTCACACCAACAGTAAGTAGCCTGTAACCTCAGAGATCAGATTTTTATTGTTTATTTTATGGTTTGTTAATTACTTGGTTGAGAGATTATTTGATTGTTTGATTGCATGGATCATTTCTTGTTTAGTTGAGTATTTGGTTGGTATATATTTTTTCATTGGGGGAGGGGGGGGGGGGTGTTGCTTACTTAGTTGACATGTTAGTTCACAATTTTGGTTGCTTGTGGATAGTTTCTTGTTTGGTTGAGTAGTTGGTTGGTGGTTGATTATAAGTTTTTGTTGTTCTTTTTGTTGTTGTTGATAGTTGCTTACTTAGCTGAGTGGTTGGTTAATGTTTGGTTGCTTAGTTTCTTACTTGGTTGAGTAGTTGATTGGTTACTTGGATGATTACTTGGATGGTTGGTTGCTTACTTGGTTAAGTAGTTAGTTATTGGATTGTTTGATTATATAGCTTTTTGTTTAGCTAAGTAGTTGATTGTTTACTTGGATAATTGCCTGTTTGGTGGAGTGGCTGTTTATCTGTTTGGTTAAGTGTCTGTGGATAGCTGCTTACTTAGCTGAGTGGTTAGTTGATGTGTGGTTGCTTAGTTTCTTGCTGGTTGTATAGATGATTGGTTGATTGGTTACTTGGATGGTTGGTTGCTTACTTGGTTGAGCAGTCAGCTGATGTTTGATTGCTTAAATAGTCTATTGTTTAGCTGAGTAGTTGATTGGTTACTTGGATAATTGCCTGCTTGGTGAATTGACTGTTTAACTGTTTGGTTACTAGGGCCAGACAAGTTGGGAAACGCTCGGTTGTGGTTGAAGTCTAGGGTAGGATCCTCCACACATGCACATGACACACATTTATTATAAAGTAAATGGGGGTACTGTAATAACTCTTGCATATAGCAGACTCCAAGCTGGATTGTGTGAATACAACAGTCCCATTTATTGAACAGTAATTCACCATAGAGAATCAATGATGTCTATCTACGTATATAATCAGTTATGTCCATCTATGTATATTCTGCAACATACGTCTTCACACCAGCACACTGGCCAATACACAGTCTTCTCTGAAGACTGGATTCCCTTACAAGAAGGAGTAAAGTAAAGTAAGTAAAGATCCCTTTTCATGTCTTAGGCGCATCAGGCATATGGGAAGAGCACCCATATTTTTACAGACCATCTGCATTAGGTAGGTTATGTGGTTGGCATTACACTGGCCATCTTTACTTCCGCAGGACATCTATCCTGTTACCCATTTTAGGCTGGGTCGACCGGCCATGCCCCATACAGTGATAAAAATCTAAGCAGCTAGCAATGGGTTTTGATGTCCACCACCTTAACTGAGTTCTGCAGAGTGAAAACCCAACCACTCACTTCTCTGGTCTTCTAGCAACTCCTCGCACAATTTAATAACTGAGCGTTCCTTCTGCATTTCACACGCTAATCTCACAAAATATTTTCATATTTTCTGGTGTAACAGATATCTGTCCATGAAATGTCTGTTCAACACTTACTCAGCACGCTTGGCATGACTGATCAGCAGTCACTCCGACCTGCCCCCTGTCCACTGATACACATTCATGTTCCTGCAAAGTTGCTATCAAAAACTGGTCTTGACAGTTCCACTCCATGTTTGCTCTGTGCTATATGGCTCAAGTGGTTGCACCATGATTGGTACACCTGACACTGTTCATAATAGAAATACATCAGGTTGCAACTGACACCATCAGCCATTCATTAAGAAAAGGGACACAGCATATCCCAAGGCAATAATGTCAAAACTTGTTTCCTTCACATAATGTGACACAATATTTATCAAACTGTTACAGATCCGGCTAGACCTCTCACTGAAATACGTTGGAACATCGCCAGTGTCACCAGCTGAAGGTAAAGTGATTCACCTTCAAAAGCCAGACCAATGTTACAGCTTTCAGATAAAATCTCTGTTAGCTTAATTGAATTACACATTAACAATTGTTATAAATCATCACTATCATGTGCCATGCAGGTATCCACAGGCGATCATAGCTCACCATCACACATGGTTAACAAAACCCTGTATAAGGCCTGTAGTCGTGGCCCACACAAATTGATACAATTTGGTAACGCCATCCAGGTATTTACTGTATTATCCTGTGTATGCACCCCCATGTACAAGGTGACCCTTATTTATTTTGTTGTTGTTGCCGACAATTAGGAAATAAAAATCTGAAACAAATGCCCTGCCTGTGAGATGAGGTGTAGCAGCTAAATGCTGGTCTGCAGATTTGAAGGTGGTGAGTTCAAAACTGAATGGAACCAGCCCTTTTTTCCTCCCTTAAAAATGACCTTGGTTCCCCGGTTGACCCTGCCTTAAATGGGTACCAGGTAAAGTCCTGGAAAGCAACGGTGGCTGGCATTATCTTGACCACATCGCCCGTTGAGTGCCTAATAATTTATAAAATATAACAGGTCTAGCACAAAACATGAATTTCAGCAAACCTTATTGTATTTTACGACATGCTTGTTTAAGTGGTGGCTTAGGCATTGTGTAGCGCTTTGTAATGCCAAGGTGTTGGGTTGATCCCAACTTTGGGGGCAGTGAATCCACATCACTCGCCAGAATGGCAGACTTGGGAATTAAGATCGGCACAGCAAAAAACGAGATGCACACCGGACACGTCAGAAGACTTGTTAATCAACATAGAACTGGTACTATTAGCCATCGGACGTTGGGATTCATACTGAGGGGAGGATCTGAGCACCTATGGACATGTCCGGAGTGCAATGATGATAACCCAACTAACTAACTAACTAATGGGTTGATCCCAGTTGCAGGCGATTTGTCAGCAGCCCGGCTTATGTTTGTTTTACAGTAGTATCAAAGGCCGACCATTCAGTAAGCAGTAGCAAACTAGAACTGAAAGTAAAATCATAAACTGCCAAGAAAAAGGAAACACACATATATTTTTAAATATTAAAAAACCCTTTTCTGGGCCTTCAGGCATAATGGGTATATAGGACTAGACCTATATTTTATGGAACAAATCGCAATAAATATATATATATCTGAGTAAACCACAACATTGTATGCTAATTAACATACCATAGGTGAATTTTGAGGGGGAAAAGTTCATGTGGTCATCTTTAACAGACACCCCCATTTGAAGCCATAACCACACAAGCATGTATGGGGGTGCTTCAAACTAAAACTTTAAAAATGAGATTGAAATTACAATAATCATGCCAATGTCTTGTTAACTGTCAGTATTGTTGTTAGGGATGTCAAGAGTGTTGAGCACATGGCCTCACGGCACAGACAAATGTTGTGACATCACAGTTATAAAATGACAGCCCCACTTTTGACAAGCACCAGTGAAAGACTAAACCTATAGAATTTTATTAGTGAATGAAGGTTCAGTATGACGATACTTGTTAGTAAGTCCAGCAGGTGTTGAGTTGAATAGGAAGTTCTACAATGGCGTAACTTCTGAGGTGGACTGTTAATGACTGGTTCAGGCATACAACGTAGTGACCCCAGAGTTGACTGCAGCCACTGAAGGCCTCTATCACACGTTTAAAGTTTTCATTTGAAACCCATAGTATATCAATAGCCTACATGAGGTATTTGATGCCCATTTCAGCTGAAGTCAAAGAAACTGACGATGATGATGAAGAGGAGGACACCACTGCTGATGAAGAAATTGAACAAGAAGAAGCTGGTAAGTACTTAAAAAAGCAGCAACTACCGCAAGCACATGGATGTGTCTTCCTCTTCCTTATTACTAAAAAACTACAACTAACCAGTGCCTTTGCAGAAAAGGAACAATTAAATGTTATAATCCCTGGGTGGATTCCATTGTGAGGTAAACAAGAATAGACCCCCTGCGTCCCCAACATGCATGTTGTAAGAGTTGACTAATTGGGGGCTTCCTTTAAAGTCGGAGTGCATCTGCCTGAGAGGCAAGGAACCAACAGTCTGCATACAAATAGCAAGATCTGTAAAACAGATGCACACGCAAAACTCAGGTCCTGGAACTAAGCCAAAGTCCAGAAATCGGGGTTTGCAGCCGATGAGCGCAAACAACAAATGTTATGAAAGAATTACAAATGTAGAGCTTTAGGATACAACTTGAGTAAAATTTTGTTAACATGAACTTGCTTGAGAAGAACACAGATTTGGTCCTTGCAATGATGTATTATTTTTTGTCTATGGCAGTGTTTTCCAAACTTTTCTTAGCCGCGGCGCATTTTTGAAATAAAATTTGTTTAACAGAAACTTAACCTAAGTGTATGACTATTCGTATGTAAAAAAAAAAAAAAAAAAAGAGACTTGTGTATATTCAAATATTTTGCGGCACCCCTGTGAAGAAGTCGTAGCTTCCAGGGGCGCCGAGGCGCACAGTTTGAGACTCAGGATCAGACATTTTTTTTTTTAACACAGACTTGATTTTTAGGTTTTGCTGTATAAATGCAGCCAGAACAAATACCAGCGTAGACGCTACACATGAAAAGATCTGAAGTGAAAGTTTGAGGCCGCGCTAGGAGAAAAGGGATTGATGACATTAAAGAGCTTCTACATAGACACGAAATGACAACAGAAATTGCTGCCTATCAAGCAGTGAATCTCAAACTGTTCCTCCCCACAACGCTTAACGACAGAAGTGGAAATTGAGGATAATGATGATGACTGTATAAACGCTTAGTGAATCAAGTGGCTATATATGTTTGCCCTCCAGCCTGAAGTACTTGGATTGGAAACAGTGACAAAACAGATCTGTTGATAATTAACCCAGATTCCCTGGTAGACACTGTCTTAAAATGGGTTGAAGGATGTGCCCTGGACATTACAAGTTGCTCGCTGCAATGATAATCACATCATCCGTCAACTTCCAAATGGCCTTCAGACTTATGTATCAGGCATTGTATGTCTGATGTGCCAAGGTTTTCTTCTAGTGGTATGCAATGGTACGAAGTACCGACACCTTTTTTTTTTTGCATCATTTTCTTTCAGTTACTACTGTAAAAACAGAAAATGGGGCTATCCTTCGATTAATGGGCACTAAAGATGGTGGCCGTAAAATATCCGTTCGAGCCGCAGTCACGTGTCAATTGCGTACTTCCGGCTACTAAATTTGCAGTTTTCTGCCAACAACCGCTACCGCCACGTGGCCCCCACGCCGCTCATGTGACGTGGATTGGGGCTAAACTAGATGGCTAGGACTCACGAGCAGCAGCTTCCACATCTCCTGCGGCTTTGCTCGTGAGTCCTAGCCATCTAGTTTAGCCCCAATCCACGCCGCTCACACGGCGTGGGGGCCACATGGTGGTGGTGATAGTCGCCAGAAAACCGCAAATTAAGTAGCCAGAAATGCGCAATTGACATATGACTGCGGCTCGAACGGATATTTTGCGGCCGTCATCTTTAGTGCCCGTTTATCGAAGGATAGCCGAAAATGGTCAGTAAATACATCAGCACCTCTAAAAGCCCCAACATGATAAAGAGAGGACCTAGTTTGCTTATACATCTGTGATCAATTTGATAGGTTGTCTTATGGTCTGGTGATTCCCATGTTGCCTTGTGTATTTTTCTATGTGGGAAATTGGTTCCACCAACTATTTATTGGTTTCTGGATACAAATTAGTAAATAGTTTATCATTTTCATTCATTATTCCTAGTTCATGTTTTCCAATAATCTCTTCATAACCTGTGTTATCTGATCCTATCTTAGCATTCAGGTCACCCATCAAAATTGTTATATAAACATCGAGCTAAAAAAATAAACATAATCTTTCTAACTTCTTCTTTTTAAAGTCCATGCTGTGTGGCAGTGGTTGTCATGTCTATCCACAGCTTTTTGTCTCGTGTACTTTCTTTCAACTCTGACACAGATGATCTTCCATGCCATGATGTTAAACTGTCCAGCATCTGTTCTCTCAGTCTCTCTCTGCCTCTCCTCCCCTATAACTTTTTTACCATCACTCTATACTCCATTTTTTTCCTTCTCATCACATGACCAAAGAATGTAGATTGTCTCTTTCAGATGTGGGTAATCAGTTCTATTTTTGAGCCAGTTTTTTTCAAGACATCTTCATTACTCTTTTTAACTGTCCAGGGTATTGTCATCATTCATCTTTAAAACCACATCTTCGCAGCTTCCAAATAAGTTCTCACTAATCAACTTTGTCACACAGATTTTGAGAAGCTACAGGCACAAGAACAACTGAAACTAATTGTCACTGATTTCCTGTTGAGAGAAGCCAAGAAAATTGAAGGCAGTGTAGACAACCACCTCAAAGCAGCAATTGATTCCCTGAATGCCAAGATAGATCCATTACTAGAAACAGCACCTGTGAAAAATGTGAAGGGCAAGAAGAAATAAACGAGTGTTGTGATGAGTTTTATGAAGCAGAGATTTTTTTTCTCTTTCTACTTCCAGGAAGTTATCCCTTCATATAATACATGTCTGAGTGAGAAATTGCACAGCCTGTGTGTTAGTTAATTAACTCTTGAGTACCATGTAACCACCATGAGTCTGTTGGTTTATGCACATCATCAAATAATAGGGCCTTTGAGAAAAGTCGCTCTCATCACGGTTCTGCCTGAAAGAAACTCGGTCTCTCACCAGTTCTTCCGCCTCATGTACTTTCCCACCCAAGTTGTCATTTATATCCTTTGCCCATCTTCGTGCTGGTTGGCCCCTGCCCCTCTCTGCTGGCACCATGCCTTCTGCTGTTATTTTTTCCCAGTCCACTGTGGCGCTTGATATGGCCAAAATATTTCAGTTTCTAAGATATGATGCTGATGTTGACAGTTTCTAGTTAGACATCTAGAAGTTATTGGCGTCCTCACATTCAGGTGTTAGATACACACATACGTCGACTAGACACCAACTGAATGTTCTATTACTTTATTGTGGTTCTGACAGTAGTATCATCTAGTCGCCGTTTACTAGCTTTTCTTTCTTGATGATCAGATCTTTTAGAATGTCAGTATTTCTTTTCTTCTTTGTGCATGGTATTCTGAGAATCTTTCTAGAACAGTTCAGCCCCAAAGCCCCTAGTTTCTTCCTTAACGACTGTGAGACAGTCCACGACTCACATCTGTCTGTTGCAAAGGCCCCTAGTTTCTTCCTTAAGGACTGCGAGACAGTTCACGACTCACATCTGTCTGTTGCAAAGGCCCCTAGTTTCTTCCTTAAAGACTGCGAGACAGTTCACGACTCACATCTGTCTGTTGCAAAGGCCCCTAGTTTCTTCCTTAAAGACTGCGAGACAGTTAAAACATCTGCGTTGCAGACAGTCCTTCCTTAAACTGCGACAGTCCACATCACATCTGTCTGTCGCAAAGGCCCCTAGTTTCTTCCTTAAAGACTGCGAGACTGTCCACGACTCACATCTGTCCGCAAGGCCCCTAGTTGCTTCCTTAAAGACTGCGAGACAGTCCACGACTCACATCTGTCTGGTGCAAAGGCCCCTGTTTCTTCCTTAAAGACTGCGAGACAGTTCACGACTCACATCTGTCTGTTGCAAAGGCCCCTAGTTTCTTCCTTAATGACTGCCAGACAGTCCACGACTCACATCTGTCTGTTGCAAAGGCCCCTAGTTTCTTCCTTAAAGACTGCGAGACAGTCCACGACTCACATCTGTCTGTTGCAAAGGCCCCTAGTTTCTTCCTTAAAGACTGCGAGACAGTTCACGACTCACATCTGTCTGTTGCAAAGGCCCCTAGTTTCTTCCTTAAAGACTGCGAGACAGTTCACGACTCACATCTGTCTGTTGCAAAGGCCCCTAGTTTCTTCCTTAAAGACTGCAAGACAGTTCACGACTCACATCTGTCTGTTGCAAAGGCCCCTAGTTTCTTCCTTAAAGACTGCGAGACAGTCCACGACTCACATCCGTCTGTTGCTATAGGGAAGATGCATGGTGTCAGAATTTTGACTTTGATTTCCTTGTTGGTGGTTTATTCACACTTAGTTTAGCCTCTTGTGCACCACCCAGATATTACTCTAACCCACCTGTTACTTGGACTCTGCCTGTCTTGTGGCATTATTTTTAAACTTTTCAGGAAAAAACATTTATTAACAGGAGCAAAAGAGAGAACACTTGAAAGTCAGAAATTAACATACAGGGAGCCACCATGGTGTAGCAGCTAGATGCTCACCTGCGGACCCGAAGGGACATGGGTTCAAATCTGAAAGGAGCCAGACTTTTTTTTTCTCCAAAAATGATCTTAGCTCCCAGGTCGACCCAGCCTTAAATGGGTACCAAGTAAAATCTTGGGAAGTAAAGGCGGCCAAGATGATGTTGACCACATTACCCACCAAGTACTGATTGGTCAATACAAATTTAGGTCTATCTAAAACTGTTTGCCTGTAGGTGTGAAAAATGTTCCTATTTTTTTTTTAACTTTCTATATTAGGTAATTAACACTTTGACATCAGAAATGAATATGCAGCTTATAATTTGGTTAATTAATACTTTAATCTCAGAAATGAATATGTTGTTTATGTGTTAACACTTCAGAGTCCGGAATTCAAATACAGCAAATAATTTAAAATTATGAATCAATATACAGTGTGTGTATTTGTTAATTAATTAATTAAAATTGTAACACCTGAATGTGTGTAGAACAGAATGGAAAAACCGACTGCAAGCCTAATGTTACATATAAACATGATGTATGTGTGTAGAACGGATTCAAGGAATAGACTTCAAGGCCTTGTTGGCACCTTTCCGTCTTTCCGGACGACAGTGTTATACTGTTCTATGAAGAGCCATGTGACTTACAGGCCATGACAATGGCAAGTGTGATTTCCCTCTCTCCACAGGACAAAGTCTGGGCAGTACTGTGGAGACCAAGTTTTGCCCATGCGCCATGATCCCTCTCTCAGGAAACCTTGTTCACGCCAAAGGAAAGGTAACACTAGTATTCCACAGAAGGTACCAGATCAGAAAAACAATCTATTTGCTTCTAGGTAGGAGCTGATGATGCGTTCCTTAGGACTGAAAGAGTTAAAGGTAACTGGATCTTGATCCAACATTGGACCAGTTTGTATCCTATATGGTCTGGCCTCTTTCCACAGTGCCCAGCATTGTACTCAATATTCCATTTCATTATATGAGGAGACCTCAAATGAAAACCTTAAAAAGTGTGACAGAAATTATAATACATACGCCACTGCCTTGTAACCTTGTGACAGAAATTATAATACATATGCCACTGCCTTGTAGCCTGTCAGTACTGTTGTTAAGGATGTCAAGAGTGTTGAGCTTACGACATCACAGTGCAGATAAACGTAGTGACGCCATAGTTACAGTTTAAATGGCCGGCCCACTTCATGCACCTAAGAAGGGCAGCACTTGAAATGCCCTCAAACGTCTTCTGTGTTCACCTTTAAAAGGCCGACAAGCCTGTTGTGTTGTGGTTTACAGCTGGGTCTATTCTTTTTCACCTTAAAATATGGAGCCTCCCCCCCCCCCCTCCCCTCAATCCACACAGGGAACCTGAATACACTATACTCCCCATGTGGGTTCCGAGGCTTCATTGTTGGGAAAACCAAGAATACACCCACTGTCTTCCCAGCAAGCATGTCATAGGAGGCAACTAACAGGGCTTCTTTTGAAGTCATGAATCTGCTTGAGAGGCGAGGAAGCAAGGTCTGCACACAAGTGAGTCAGACCTATAAAACGGATGTGCATGTAACATAGATATGAATTTTTCAGAATATGAGGTCAGGCTCGCTAATTCTGTCAGTCATGGAATGGATTAAATTTGTAATATTAAATATTTAAGTACAGTGGAAAATCAGGATGTGAGTGTACCTGGATATGAATTTTTCAGGATATGAAATTCTGTCAGTCGTGGAATGGATTAAATTTCCATCCTGAGGCTCTACTGTACTTTTGATCATGGAGAAATACCTAACTGCTCTGACTGAAACCAGATCAGTTAGGAGTTAAACCAATTGACAATGTTCTACTTCCCACCTCATCTCTTGGTATAGCATAGGATAACTAACTTTCTCGGAGAGGAGTGAAAAACAGCAGGTCCTGTATTGTCCTCGTTAACAGTCTCTTGCTAGTTGGAAGATGCACAGAGGAGGTTTTATGCCGGCTGCCAGAGATACATTTTTTTGCAATCACCCTTAAATGGCAGCTGGCATATTGCATTATGGTTTACAGTGAGGCTGTGATAAATACGCCTCTGGTCCCAACACATTCGATTTCAGCAAACCTGAGATTAGTCATCTTTAATTATCTGCTTGTTAGAGAGACGTGGGGGTCAATGATCCCCCCCCCCCCCAACATGGGACTGTGCAACCCACATGGGTGGCCGATGGTAACATTTTTAAGTTTGGAGCAAATACCCATAACACAGTCTGAACGGTCTGTCTTGATGTGAGAACATATTGAGAGATTTTCACTGACAGTATTCAAGTCATGCACTGAGGACAGAATCTCCAAATACAGTCTTAGGAAGTATACTTATACACTAATACTTTCAAAGTTATACGGAAAATAGTCTTCGGATCCAATCAGCTGAATCAATCAATCCAAATTATTGGCAGTAAGATGTTTCACACTTCTATGGAAAATAGTCTTTGGATCCAATCAATTTAATCAATCAATCCATATTAATGAAGGTAAGATGTTTTACAAATTAAATTCATGTCACAGAAACTGTCAGGTTATTCTCTGCCTCTTCAGTGGTAAAGAAGAATCTAATCCATTTGTCTTTGTGATAACTGAAACATGGAAAGAGGCGTCTGCTGCTTGATTCTTGTCAGTTGAGCTCGGGTTGTCCTGCAGTACACCACGTATCCCATCCTTCTGAAAATAAAAAAATAAAAAATAAAAAGTAACACTTATCAGATAAGTTTTAGGATATCAAGAGACAACAGATCAAACTGTTTGGTCATGTGTCAGGACTACCACCAGATAGTGCACAACACTTAGTCATAACGGAAGCAGAATTAGAGGTTGAGCATGCAAGTTACAGATAGGCTGAATATCCAAGGCCGTAAATACCAGCATAAATGTAGCATATCCAAGGCTTGCACCCGATGCCTCTTCAAAATCTGACTGAAGGAGAACAGGACCAGAGTAGAAGAAGGGTTGGGGTATGAACCAACATCACAGCATGCTGAACATGCCCATTTCTTCATCCCCATCTTCATATATAGTAGATATGTTAGATATAACAGCCAAAAATGTGTGCATATACTTCAGATAGATATTTGAATTTTTTTAAATTTAAAAAAAGGGGTTGCACGGGGCAGAGCTCAATCTGCTAGGTGATCTAAACAATGTGGGTTCCTTTATGCACTGCATCATTCAGTTCATAAGAACAGCTGTGAGGAGTTTGGTGAGAGCTAATTAC